AACAAATTAATCTGTATTATTTTAACAAAATAATAAAAAAATTCAGGACAGATAGTTATAAAACATTTATTGCAAGTGGTAAAAAATAAAAATTATCATATTTATGCCGATAATTACTTCACTAGTAATGATTTGATGAGTATGTTATTTAAAGATGGAATTTTAACTTGTGGAACCGTTCGAAAGGAAAGAAAGATCTTTCTAACAATAAAAGAAGGGTGAAAATGTGAGTATAGTAAAAAGTGAATATCAATATTAGATGATAGTAACAGATGGTTGAAATAGCTAGATAAAAAAACAGTTCAATTTTTATCAAATGTTCATGATCCATCAGCTTTATCGGAGGTAGGAAGAAGACAAAAAGATAACTCAATGAAGACTATTGCTTGTCTTTATATAATTACAGATTATAATGTTCACATGAGATGTGTTGACGAATCAAATCAAATAAAATCATTTTATGAAATATAACGGCCGGGGCCGTTTTCGCGGAAGATTGTCCGCGTGCGAGGCCGAGCATGGCGAAGCGGGCGAGTGAGCGAGGAGTGAAGAGAGAGAGACAGAACGAGACTCGATCAGGCGCGTGCCGTAACAGAGAGTGGGGAGAGAAAACGATTTAGAGGGACTTAGACTTAGACCGGCGAGCTGGAAGGATCGTCACGTGCGCGCACGAACGAAAGAAAAAGGAGAGCGACCGGCAAGAGACAAAAGTGAAAGTGCGCAAGGAAGTAGAGACCATCCCCGAGGATCGCCGGAACATGTAGATCGTCACCTCGAGTGGGCAATCACCAGGGGCAGAACTTGCCCGCCCGAGCAAGGGCGACATCGCGGGCGACTAGCGAGAGGTAGTCTGTCTGCAGCAGCTACTTCACGGTGAGTTTCGTTGCGTTTGCAAGCGATTATTTAGCGTGCGATAGTTGCGCGAGCGAGCGTCTCTCTCTCTAAAATAACATTGATAGCGAAATCTCGGCACGCGATATTGTGTAGAAGATTTGCCTAAAAGAATAAAGCCCGATTTGACCTGCACTAGTGTTGTCGTTGTGTTGGGCGTACCTAGGAAGGCACCTCTGTCCCTTCCCACGCCCGTGATTAGAACCCACGCACGCTCTCGTGTTTAGCCGTGCTTTCGCGATCCCTTTTCAGGGCAGCACGTGCCCGCCCGTATTCGGCAGAACACCAGGAAGCGGCTAGCTGATCGGGGCGGCGGTGAGCCCCGCACCGAACAGCGAAAACAAAATTCTTAACGGATCGCGAAAATAATTTGATTATTTCACAGGCCGTTACAGAAATAATAAGGAAAAGCAATAAGTAGTAGCACCGTTATTCTGGTATCTTCTAGACGTTACTTTTTTTCAATTCTTTCATAATTTATAAATTGCTCAATTCTGATGAAGAATTAAAGTTAAACGAATTCTATTTGTCAGTTGTAGATGAATGGATAAGATCAAATATTAGAAATGCACTGGCAAAACTATGATCAATTGCAATAAATATTCCTTCATAAAAAAAAAGTTCAAATACCTGCAATTGTTTGAACGTCTCCTCGAAACATATACCCGGAGTTTATAAGGATAATAAAAAATACTGTGTTCTTTGCAGTACAGGCATGGGAATCTCTCTACACCAGATCTCACCGATTTCAGTAATCTTTTGATACGTTGTACGTCATAGACAAATAAATAATACGGGTTTTTTATCTGCTAAAACACACTTTAGAATCCGCCCTCAAAGCCTATCATTACAAATGAATTTTGCAATGTATCTCAAGTTCTAATTGATGTTTCAGAATGAAATAAATTTCATTTTAATTCTCACGTAAATGCAGAATTAGTGCATATAGTTCTAAAAATAAAGGCTACAATCCTTTTTTTTATTTACAATTATACAATTTTTGGACCAGTTTCTATGAAAAAAAAATTTTAAATGAGCCAAAAAAAAAAAAAAACTGTAAAAAATATAAAATATTGAAAAAAATTTGTTAGGCGTGAATTTATAATTTTACAGGTATTTTGAAAAATAATCTCGAACGAGTTAACTTTCTTGTGATAATTAAGTCATGATAATATTTTTTTCAGTTATTTTTTTGTCCGACTTAAAATTTTTTTTCATAAAAATAGGCAAAAAAATCGTAGAATTGTTAGTAAAAAATAAAGGTTGCATTCCTTATTTTTTCACTAATTTTGCATTTACATGAGAACTGAAATGAAATTGATTTTATCACAAAAGTTCAATTAGAAATGGAGATAAATTGCAAAATTCATTTTTGAGAGTGGACTTTGCCGAGGAATTTTACCCTCAAAGTGTTTTTCAGCAGATAAACCAAAAGTGTTACTTATTTTTCTACGATCTACAACATATCAAAAGAATATTGAAATCGGTGAGCTCGGATTGTGAAGCGGCCTCGTTAGACGAATCAAGTTCGATCAAGATTTTACTATACAATTTGAAATGTGACATTATATATCAATTCAGAGTAACTGCGTTGCTAAATATAAATAAATATTTTGCCGCAAAGTACAATGCGAAAGACCTTTACACACAAAGTTATATATTGATCTAACATTTTTATGTTTATAGTATTTAATCGACCATATTGAAATTAAAAAATTTGATTCTAGATTCGTAATAAACGATCCACAACACTTACATACAAAAACTGGAATCGACCTGCCTTGCTTTTGAAAGATTTTTTCTGCCATATTAAATTTAACACTTAGAATTTTGAAATTTTTCTTGCAAATTTGTAATCAGCGACTCCAAAAACATTCGTAGTCAATTTCATACCTAGGGTAACTGCTGGACAAAAATGTGTCCCTCAAAGAATTGAAATACAATTAATAATTCAAAAATCCTATCAAATAATCTTTCAATTTCCATTCATAGAATATCTAAGAATATTTGATGTGGAACAGATATTTATTGAATGCGTGATGTTTAACAACAATTATTAACTATTTTAAATAGGATTTATTTTTTTGGAGAAGGAAATTCGTTATTTTTTATATATTGTAACGGGGCGATTATTCGGGGAAGGAATGCCGCAGCGTACGTGACTGCGAGTGGGTGTTCGCGTCAGAAGGGCGCCGCGTTCATGTGCAAGATCACACATATGGGGGGAACGCTTGATCTTCGCCCGATGGCTGAGCCGACTTTCTATCTCGGTGAGGCTGTTCGATACAGATGCTGCCCCGTGAATTGCTCTTTTGACGTGAGAAGCCAAGAAACGGGTGATCGAAGAGTGCTAGAAAGGGAAAGGATTGCGAAAACTATGGCGATCGCAGCCGATGCGCTCGATGCTCGTGGGTTTCTTAGGCGAGGGACTTTGGGAAAATGACCGGCAAAAGATGGCTAGCTGTATTTTACTTGAAGCACCTCGGCTTTATTGAGCCGCCAGGTAACCGACACAGATCGTCTTTCGGATGATCGCTACAAAAGGCTTAACAACAGTCACAAAGTCAGACCCGATGCACGCGACCGATAAACGCGTTGTACGCGAGAGAGAGAGAAAGAAAATATACGCGAATCTAAGAAAAATCGCGCGCGCACTTTCACTCGCATACATTATAAATTAGACACTACCTTAGCTTTGTCGCTGGTCAGCCGAAAAAGCTTTACCGCTCCGTTCTTGCTGCCATCGCTGACGACGACGCTAGTATGGCCGCCTCTCGGTGAAGACTTCGCCCCCTTCGCGGCGCTGGATCTCGAGCTAGTCGAGCTCGAGATTGCACTCTAATACTTGAGGTAGGCTGCGGCTTAGCCAGCAGGTCGTTCTACACTATAGTACTCGTAAAATCGCCCGGGAAATTCGCCGCAACAATTCGCTGGAGATTCCACACTGTTGGTCACACGAATATGGCACTAGACCTGCCTTTTCTTGCCCACTCTATTAGTCAATACACCGAAGTCTGAGAAACGTTTGATTTGTTTTGAAATTAGGTGCAGTGACTAAAGCGGACAGAAAAGACTGCCGGTACGTGTGCGCGCCACCTCTCTGTCTCTTTCTCTCTCTATCTCGCGCTCTCTCGCTTGCCGCTTTATTCGCCCTGCAGCCGACGTCGCTTTGCCCACGCGATTCAATGTGCGAAACAAGGAATACTCGTTACAATAGAGAGCCACTTCCATATTATTTATAAAACGGTTTTTAAATTCTTAATTTATAGAATATCTTTTTTTACTGTGGATATAAGTATATACGATAACAAAATATATTAATTTATATTTATTCTGTAAGAATTATTTGATAACTCTGTACTATTATGAATACGATTTAGGACTAATATTATGTCGTGCAATTTTTTATGACTTTCATGGTAATACTGCTCAAAATAATACTGGAGCTACTGAAAAAGTACTGTTTTAAATTAAATGAAAAATACAAAAATACAAACATTTTTATCTTCATACTATTATAGACATATAACTACATTTCTGAATTTATTGTAATATAAAATTTTAAGCATGATTATAGTTTTAAATATCAAAAAGTGTACTCATCTAATTTAAATTTATCAAAGAAGATAAGATAAATAGGTTTTATATTGGTTAAAACAAACATAATGTTGCTTAAAAAAATTTTTATAGCACGAAATAATATTCGGCTGATACTGTAAGCAAAGCGAGAGCCGAGACACTTATCACCTCGCATTATAAACGCAATATCATTAATATAAATCGAGCTTCTTTTGTTTTGCAGTCTTGGTACTTCTAAAATTTCCTATTCTTATATTATTTTAAATGTACTTTCTGCATGAAAAAAAAGACAAAATAATTTGGTAAAGCTCCCGGCTGTTCGGTTTCATGTAACTGCGACACTAGTCTATTATACACGATGTAAATTACTTGATTGTTATTTTCTTCTTGACAACATAATATAAATCGCATACTCTAAAATATAATTTATGGCTACAAAAAAACTAATTTTAAGATTATTATAATTTCAATAAATTTTAATGCCTTATACGATATATAACCGTTAAATAAATTAGTCATAGTTTTTGTACCTTATATTCTGGATTATCGATCATAGGAGCTTCCCATTCTCCATCCATTTCATCGTCCCAATCGTCTGGTTTTGCTGCTTCAGGATCGGGTATGTGTTCTGGTTTATCCCAATCTTCAGGCTTCTTATCATTTGTATCTGATATTGTTGGCTTATCATCCCAATCTTCAGGTTTAGATTGAGATGGGTCTTTTATTTTTTTTGGTGGGAGAAAATCCCAGTCAGTTTCTAATTCACCTGATTCTACTTTTTCATTGTCAATCAAAACCTAAAAAAGTTATTTTATTTTTTTAGGCACATTCATTTAATCCTTCTGTTAAATATTCGTTTTTATATAGAAATATAAAAATATTCACTGGTTTAGATTTAACCTTAAACTGAAGGTTTCAGTTATGATTCGTGTAAAACTTCTCTCACTATTTCATAAATAATAGGGGAGGTTTAAGTCTATATACTAATAACTATATTGAACCAAGACTCATAATCAAAAGACTGCCTACGTAGTGTACCTCTGCAGCATTCCACATGAATGTAATTTTGGAAATAATAATTTATATACGAAGTAATAATAATAACAATAATATTAGAATTTTCGATTATCATTTTTATAGAAATTTGGTGACGAATATTATTGTACGAAATACTAAATTTTTGTATTTTAAACTATATTTTATTTCAAAATACTTATAATAGACAAACAAAGTTACTAGGAAAATCATTTTTTTTTCTCACCACAGATTTCACTCAAGCAATATTTTATTAAAGCTAAAAAAATATTTACATTTGCAAAAGTTCATTCAGCGTTTGACCGCTGAGGTGTGCAGATGTACCAGCACGGCGTTCTACCCGAAAACTTGAAGTATTAGTCAATCACTCAAGTGACAGTTAAATTCAAAATTTAATTTAATAAACTTAGATAAAAATTAAAAAAAACGGCTGAAATAGCCACTCAGTCAGGAGATGACAAGAGCACTCCTAATGAAAACAACGAAAATTGGAAAATCGCAAGCGGCAAAAAACAGAGAAACAGCCCAGTAATTTGAGATACCATTATATATAGGTACACAACATGAAATGATTAGGGTAGTCGGGAAGGGTTGCAAGGGTTGATAAGGGGTGAGAAATCGATATGACTAAAAGTCGTTGTTTTTTATTACAATCCATCAAAAAGGGAATTTTAGAGAATGACAAATTCAAATTCGGTAGATAAAAAGTACAGAAACATTCCCTTTTTGATGGATTGTAATAAAAAACGACTTTCTGTCATATCGATTTCTCACCCCTTATCAACCCTTGCAACCCTCCCCTACTACCATAATCATTTCGTGTTGTATATCTATATGTAATGGTATCTTAAATTATATTTCAGATGTATATCTCATAAAAAAATCATGTTAGTTTGAGCAAAATCAAATAAATTTGGCGTCGAGGCCTTCGTGTCACGTTTTGGTCACAAATTTTCTTGTTTTTTGAGATTCAACCCCAAATAGCGAATTTTTGGAGTGTTGCAGGAGGAATCTAATTAAAAAATCTTATAGATCAGCCAATTTTACCCCTAAAATGACTATTGCAATGTAGCAGAAACGAAAATTTTCGTTCTGGCAAATACGTCACAAAACTACCATTAACACTTTTTACAATTGGAAATGAACATGATGAATACCAGAAAATTTACAAAGCAAACCGACTATTGAATACGGTAATCAAGTTCGAGCCATCGAATGTTACAAGAGAAATTCCTCAATGTCAAAACTGCCAAGAATACGGGCATACAATAAACTATTGTTACAAAAGTGCTGTGTATGTGAAATATGCTGAACAACACTAAACTAAAAAATGTCCAATTAAACAAAAAATAAAATAAGTAACATGTACAAATTGTAAAGGAAATCACACCATAAACTATATAGGATGCCCAGTTCGTAAGCAGTTACAGTAAAAACTGTTTCCTGGGCTACGAGAAAAAACGTTAAATCAAAACAGTATTTAAGTTCATCAAAATTCAAATTCAACTTTAAATGCTAACGTCAATAGAGTTAGACAAAATATGCACAGGTAATATCAAAGCAAAACAATCAGCGTGAGATATAAATATCAAAACAAACAGTTGTTCAAACAGAGCTAAGTAGACATACTAACCAAGTAAACACAAATAATCAACTCGAACATATGATGGAGTTGCTGTTGCAAATAATGGATACTATGTTAAATCTCTTAACTGTACTACTAAATAAATCAGCTTAATGAGCCATCTAATACTCGCTATTTAGAACGCAAACGGTCTTATGAAGAGGTGTAACGTTGGGTCTTAATTTTAGGTATTTACAAGAAGTTTTTTTTAATTAAGAGTTTCATACTTATTTCCCTAATTACGGGTACAATTTAGGTTGTACGAAAATAGGATAGGAAAAGATCTTTCTACATCAGAAGGAGAAAAAAGCCCGTAATTCAAAAGCCGAACAGATGGTCCGCGATACGGAACGCTCTTCTCTTTGTTGCGCTCATGCCGAAATTACGCAGAAAATCATAAAGAGTTTTTTGACTACGTTTAGATGTAGCGTAAGGAGGCTGCGAAATGTCATCTACATTATGCTTTATGATTTTTCTAACGGATCTCGGCTTTTAAGAAACTCAAAAAATTAACATGAAAAAAAAAACGTATTACAAAATTTAATGATGTCAAGAAGCAAAATATGCGAAAATATACAGGGTGGGCCATTTTAATAGATCCACTCAAATATCTTCGAAAATAACCAGTAAAAAAATGGTTTTTTACAAAAGTTGTCACGGACGAAGGGAGGCCGTCTAACTGTAAAGTTGGTTTTGAACTTTACTTTACCTTGAACTTTACTTTCAAGGTCATTTGGGTTGAAAAGGTTTTTTTCAAACCCCTATTTTTGACATTGGATTCTGAAACAGCAAGAAATTTTATATTCAAAATGATATTTCCAAAATGTTTTTATGACCCTTACAAAGTCATATCAAGGTCACATTCTAAAAATAATGTCGTTTCTATTTAATAGCATTTTCTGATAGAGTAATCCTGATTGATGTACTTTCACGAGAAATAACTTAAGAACTCAATAACCTAAATAACTCAAATAACCCAATAATCAATAACTAAGAACTTCAAAAACTGATGACCTAATAACATTGTAGTCCAATAACTAAGGATCCAATGACATAAGAAATAGCTCCAATAACCCCAATAAATAATAACCCTCATGACTTAATAACTAATAACCCTCATAACTTAATAACTAATAACCCTCATAACTTAACCCATTAAGTGGCAAACGTCTATGGCTGCAATACTTCGATTTAACATTATGCCATTCGTACAATTCTCAATAGATTTGGATGAAATTTGGTTTCCTTATGTTTTTGTGTATGCTCTTTCTAAAAATCACCAAGCTTTTTCAACAACTTGATAGAAAAAAAAATATGGCCGATTTTTTCGAAAAAATTCCAAATTTTTTTCAATTTTTCTCTAATATTCGCTCTGCTGAAAAGAAATGGACCCTAAAATAGGCTCCCTAAATAATATTTTTCGCAACATGGGACAATTATCTTTCAAGCGCATTCGACCTTATTAAAAAATGTTGATTAGAAAAAAAAATATGGCGGTTTTTGTATCGTAGTGTAATTTAGAAATTCATGATTTTTTTACTCAAAAAATGTCAACTTTTGGAAAAATTGTTGTAGAACAAAAAGTGCTTAGAATTGATCGAGGAACACGTGTGAATTTTTACTAAATAATTTGGAAAATTTTTGGAAAATTGAAAATTTGAATTTCCCGAAAATCCAAAAATATTTATACTTTTTTTTGGAAGTGCTTATTTTTGCCAATTTTAAGTAAATGTATGTGTTATAACATTTTTTAATAAGTATTTTTCATTATTTTGAGCAGAAGAGTTCTATAATAGTTCATTTTTAGAAATATTTGTTTACTTCAAATTACTAATTTTACATATGTTATGAATAAAGGCCTTGGCCGTAACACATTACTAAGTAAGTTTTATAAAATAATAATAATAAACTTCAGTTTTAATTTATAAAAATCAATTACAAAAATATCATAATCTTATATCTATTGTCGATATTTTATTGTAGCATTTGCTATTTTGAAAAATGTAATTCGAGTTACCCCTGCAATTTTACTACAGCGATATTTTGAAAGCCTTTTAGAAGGGATTTATTTCAAACAAAATTTCTTTTTGTGTGAAAGTATATTTTCAAAAAATTTAGGATTTTATTATTGTCGTATGCCGTGTAGTTTATCAACTTAACATTTTTAGTTTGAGGTGGTGTGATATCCAACCATTTCATTCAAATATTTTGTAAACCTTAAAAGGCAATTACTTATAATTAAGTTTTTTCTTTTTAATTTTGGTTTTCTCAAATAATTGCTGGTATTATGTCTGGAAAAAAACGCATTTTACCTCAAAGAAGGTGTAATAAAAATAAAAAACAAATTGCATTTTCAAGTGAATCTTGTGAAGTGTCTGAAAATGATGACACGGTAGATGTTGTTATGCTACCACATCCTGAGAGTTCAGATTCAGAATCGGAAAACGAATCTAACAATTCTGAAGATGTTAGTGATGAAGATAATGATGACGAAAATGAAGATAATGCTGATGAAAATGACGACGCTGATGATGAAAACGATGTTCAAGAAATTGTTGAAAAATTGTTATCGTACCATGAATTTAAAAAAGGGTAACTCTAACACTCAGAAACGTTTGCAAGAAGATCATGTATACGATTGGACAGATGGAGAGAAAAAGTATGATGAAATTCCATCTAATAACTATTTGTTAAAAGATAAAGATCGTAAAATGATTGCTAATAGTACCGCTGTTGAATTATTTGAAATGTTCTTTTGTAAAAATATAAAAGAATATATCATTGAAGCTTCAAAATTTAACGGTTTAGATATAACAATAGAAGAACTAAATAAATTTGTTGCCATTATTATTCTTTCTGCGTTCAACAAAAGAACATCTGAAAAAGATTATTGGTCCAAAAATGAGTTACTCGAGTCCCCAGTAGTTAGATCATTGATGTCGTTGAAAAAGTTTTTGAAAATCAAATCAAAAATCAAATGCTCCAAACCTACAGATAAAAATGAAAAAGATCGTGCTTGGAGAGTTAGAGCTATATTAGAAATTTTTAGGAAAAATATAAAACAGTTTGGTTTTTTTCAGACAGGATTATCCATAGACGAAATGATGATTAAATTTTTTGGTAGACTGTTGATCAAAC